TCCAACCTAAAGGATTCTATGATACCATAAACAAAAGTTTCTTCTTCTCAGGCTGGGAGAATTGACCAGCTGTGGTGTCAATCCCTCTGTTTCAGAGCTCCTTTTTGGTGTGTTTCACCTGCAGCTGTCAGGCTCTGTGCAGGAAAATGCTCATTTTATGCTGACCCACACCTCAGGAAGGGGTAGCTAGCTGGGGGGAGCTTCTCTAACAGATACTTGACAAGTGCAAACTTTATTGAGATTAATAATTCATATCACAAAAGTATTTTGAGCTGGTTATTGCAAGAGAAAAGATTTTTTTTTTAAGTTACAAGCTTATTTCCCCAGTGATTTCTCCCTCCTCATGAACTGCTCCAACATGGTGTTCTAATGAAGATGTGTTTTTAGGGAGAACTTTTAAAGGCTCCAATCCTGAAATACAGGATTTCACCAATTCTCTGCAATCCTCATGACAACACTGCTGTTTGTCTGCAGTAGTGCCTGTGAAGGGCTAAAAAATCTGGAGAATATATGTTTTTAAGTACACTCTTGAGAATAATTTGTGTTTCTCTGATAAGAGTGCTGCTGTGTTCTCTTTTCTTGTACTTTAATTGCAAGTTATTAGAGCTACTTAATATTGGTGTGTGCTGAGAGCTGAATGGGAGGCTGAATTTATATATATATATATATAAAAGTATATTTTTAAACCACTTGCTAGGTTGCCAATTCTTTGATTTCTTATTTTTTAATAGTCAGAACTCGTTGACCTGGCTGAAAACATCCAGCAGAAACTGTCTTATTTTAACGAGCTGGAAAACATCAACACAGTGAGTAACTTCTTCTTGCAGTGCTGTAATAATACAATAAGTATTATTCCACTGTTCATAACCTTAGAAAATGAAAGTGCTCCTCACAAGGATGTTTTATTCTGTTCTCCAAAGAAACTGAATTCCCCAACGCTGTCTGTGAACAGTGAAGGATTCATCCCCATGCTGGCTAAGCTTGATGATTGTATTGCATATATCTCATCCCATGTAAGTGATCCTCTCTTGGGTTCAGTTAAGTCTTATTGGTTTCAAAACTATATATTCCTACTATTTTTGAGGTAGGGGGTTTTGGTTTGGTTTGGTTTTCCTATAAAATGTTCTCTCTGCCAAATACAGTAAGAAAGCAAAGAGGAAATAAAGTAAGAAAGCCATTTTAAAGAATTTTTACTGAATATCCTTAATATTTTGCTTCTTTTTAATAAAATACTGCTTTTAGTTTGTACAAACTAGCAATTCTAATTAGTGAAAGTGTTTGGAGTTTTGATAAATTTTAACTCTCCTATTGTTGGCGTGTAAAATGATTTTTAAAAATCTCTTTCAGCCCAATTTTAAAGACTATCCTGTATATTTGGTCAAGTTTAAACAATGCCTTTCTAAAGCTATGCACCTCATCAAGACATACACTGTGACTACCCTGCAGAACCTCACCAGCCAGCTGATGAAAAGGGTAAGGTGAATCAGTAAGGGGCAACTCGAGCTGGGCTGAAATGTCTCTTGGAACACCACACACTTGACCTTTTGTTTCTTTGAAGGTGGGAGGTGTCAGCAGTTTGGTGTGAAAAGTGTTTGTGTAGTTTGGGCAGGTTGCAGCTGAATCTGACAAGAGACCTAGTCATCCAAAAGATTTAAAAATAATAATTTAAAAATCCTGGAAGTTGAAGAAGGCCAAGCAGATGAATTGATGTAGGTGAATCCTTGAGTTCCTGACATGACTCCTTCAGTATTATACTCCACCAAGTATTTTTGGGCACTCTTTGTCATCTAAATATTTCTTTTTCATGTCTGCAGTGCTCTGTGGAGCTGCAGAGGATAACTGTGGCAGGTTCCTGGTAGTTTGGCCAGTGGATTTCATGTGGGTTTGAAATGTTGATGGTGATGTTAGAGAGTCACAGGGTAGAGTTAGGGGCTTTACTCCCATCCACTCCAGTGGGATTTAGGCATAAACTTGACTAGGAGGGTTTTTGGTCTCATTAATAATAGTCTTATGCAGCAAAATTTTGGCAGAGGACAAAAAGGGGAATGTGTTTTTCTACCCCCTTTCTTTCTTTTTCCAAGTAATTGTTGTATGCTTTGTGCTCAGTCCTATTACAGGCAAACTTGTTGTCAGGGGAGGGAACCAGTGATATTGAAAGATGCTAAAATTGAGAACTGGCTGGCCTAAAAGAAGGGGATTTTAGACAATGTTCATGGCAACTTGCTGAAGGATATTCCTGGAGTGAAGGGCTTAAGTTACACTGAGAATTTTTCACATTTGGTACAAAACTAGTGTTTATTTCTTTTAAAAAAGTATGATAGCTTAGTTTGATGGCAGTGTTTTGCTTTGACTGAGCATCTCTGATGATAAGCATGCTTACAGAGCTGAAGGGAGTCCAAGTCCACCCTGGGACTGGCAGGTGAAAGGAGAATTTAGTTCCATTTTAGTGCTGCAGATGAAGGAGCAACAATCAGTCCTGTTGGGGCAGATCCAGAAAAAAAACCTTGTCTCCAGTGGTGAATGTTACAGTCACTGAAAATGTTGCTTTTGCTATAGAGAGAGTTGTTTGAAACTATTGTTGGAGGTTTTCTTCTTCCATCTGGCTTCCAACAAGCATCCCTTTCTGGGTGGAGGGTGGCAAAGAGCTGGCAGCATAAGCATAAAGAACTGATACCCTGTTTTAGAGCCTCATTATCTCAGCCATTAAATACTAGAAGCCAAATATAGTGTTTTCCTTTCTCACCAATTACTCATCTCTTCTTTCAGGATCCTTCAGCTGTGCCAAATTCTGACAATGCCTTCACTCTGTTCTATGTCAAATTCAGAGCAGCTGCTCCCAAAGTCAGAGTAAGTAGGCTGTGAAAAAAAGAAACTAGGAAATGGGGTTTGAATTGATGAGTAGTGTGAATTGGAAGGATTGCCCTTTGTGCAAGTGTGAATGGCCAAAGATTGCATATTGTGTTCTGGAAAAATAACTGTAAACTATTTTCCAATTATTAGAGAAAATTGTTTCCTGATAATACTTTTTTTCTTTTTGAGTAGACTCTTATTGAACAAGTGGAGCAAAGATCTGAGAAAATGCCAGAGTGAGTATGCCTCCATAATTTTCAACCACTTTTCTTTACTCTTAAATAAAGCTTAACACATTCATTTAAAAGGTTTTAAAAACAAATTATGTAGACCTAAAAGAAGGTATTAGAATGAATTTTATCTTTACCAGAAAATGAGCTCCTGGATGCAGTGACTGGTTTATTTCTTGGCTAGGTATCAACAAGTTCTGAATGAAATCCATCAATGTTACCTTGACCAGAGGGAGCTTTTGCTTGGGCCAAGTATTGCCAGCACTGTTACAGAGTTAACCAGTCAGAACAACAGGGATCATTGTGCTCTGGTAGGTAAAACAGTCCTGTGTTGTGGGGTTTTTGGTCCATTTTAATCCTCCAGGTCATGTCTGCTTATTTAATTCAGTTGTTTACATGCAGAATTCTCACTTCTGTTTGGGGCTTTGAATTCTTAATGTGTGTTTTGTGGAATATTGTTCTGTAAAAACTGTGCTCTGCTACAAACACCCCAAAGGGGTATTTGGAAAAGCATAAAACACAGCTACTTAAATTTAACCAGAAACAAAAAGGGACAGAAATTGCACAAAGAGCTTTTATTTGACCAGTAACATCTTCTCAGTCCTTAGCTGTAGAGCTGTGAAAGTTTTAATATCACAAGGCTTCAATTTAATCATATTTACAGTAATTATACAGTATATAACATAGTGATGTCCTATAAAATAATGTCTGTAATGCCTCCTGTGGTACTGATGCAGGGAAAATGATTTAATAACAAACTAATTGTGTTTCTGTGAATGCAGGTCCGAAGTGGTTGTGCCTTTATGGTCCATGTGTGCCAGGATGAGCACCAGCTTTACAATGAGTTCTTCACAAAACCAACACCTAAACTGGAGTAGGTAGTTACATGCTGGTTTTGTTTTACTGCATGTTGTCTTTAGAATCCTAGAATCCTTTAGGTTGGAAGCGAGCTCCAAGATCATCCAGTCCAACCATCAAGCCAACACTCCTGAGTCCTCTGCTCAAACAGAATCAAAATCTGTCAGGGCTGGAAGGGACCCCAAGGATCCCCCAGTTCCACCCCCCCTGCCATGAGCAGGGACACCTCCCACTAGATCAGGCTGCCCAGAGCCTCCTCCAGCCTGGCCTTCAAGACCCCCAGGGATGGGGCCTCAACCCCCTCCCTGGGCAACCCCTCCCAGGCTCTCCCCACTCTCCTGGGGAAGAACTTCTTCCTCACGGCCAGTCTGAATCTCCCCACTGCCAGCTCTGCCCCATTCCCCCCAGTCCTGCCACTGCCCCACAGCCTAAAAAGTCCCTCCCCAGCTTTCCTGGAGCCCTTTTCAGACCCTGGAAGGCCACAAGAAGGTCCCCTGGGAGCCTTCTCCTCTCCAGGCTGAACAGCCCCAACTCCCTCAGCCTGTGCTCCCAGCAGAGCTGCTCCAGCCCTCGGATCAAGACAGTGTAAGATTTTAAAACCTGAACTCCAGCCATTTTTCAGCAAGGATTTGGAGTTTCTGAGCTGCCCTCACTGTCAGGAATGTTTGCACTTGCCTGTTAGGTGGGCTGAGTGAATGGTTTATTCCCCTTCTCCAATTTTCCAATTTAATAGTGATATTTAATGATGACTTATCCAAATGAAATTTGGATAAGTCATGTTCCCTTGCTGGGAATCTACTTTTATTTATGAACCTGATATTAAGATAACAATGATGTTAGTTTTGAGTGTTGTATTATCTTAAAATCAACTGCAGCTTGAGCTGAAGAAGCTGAAGAAGCATAACGTGGAAGAAATAACTGTCTCCTTTGGCAGGAACTTGCTTCCCTTTTTTAATCATATCTAAATAAAATATTTTGAAGAAGATGTTTCAAACAGCAATTACTTTATTAGGTTTTCCTTATCTGCATAATAAATAACCTGTTGGGGTTTTTTTTAAGTGCTGAGCTGCTCTGAACACCTAATTTCTGGGTGACTATGTACAGAGAAAAGAGTTTAGCAAGAATCTAGCCAAGAGCAGAGATCTGAGGTCATGTTAGATTTAATATTAAGGCTGTTGAAACTTTCTCCTTTGTTTCTGCTTTTAACTTGGAGATTGCTCTTTTACCAAGCTGCTTGTTGAGCTATAGAACAGGAGAGAGACATTCAAAATGTTTCTTCTGTGAGGATTTTTGTTGTCCACTTTCTTAAAGGAACTGAAGTGTCCTTGTCCTGTTGTCAGACATTCTCCATGAATTTGGGGGAAAAAAAACAGTGTAATAAGCTCAACAACAGCACCACACTCTAAATGTCTTATTTTAAAATGAAATCAGAATTGGACCAACATTTTAATAGGTTGGTATCCTGTGTCTCTAAAAAGTCTTTGTAGGAAATCAGATTTGTGTTTTAAACAGTCTTTTCTGGAGTGTTCCATGACACCATGTTGCATTTTTCCCCCACGCTGCTTTTAACAACATTTTCCATAAAATAATCCATGTTTGTGCTTAAAATTTTAATTTGGGATCCTGAAAGTGTTTTGCTTGGTCTGTTTTCACAGTGAACTGTTGGAGAAGTTGTGTCTTTCCTTGTATGATGTCCTGAGGCCAATGATCATCCATGTCATCCACTTAGAGACACTTTCTGAACTCTGTGGGATTCTCAAAAACGAGATGCTTGAAGATCATGTCCAGAACAATGGTAACTTCACAGATGGGACCTGATTGCTTTTAATTGTTTTCTTAACTGATCACATTTCACAATTGCATAGGCAAAGCAGTCACTTTTTTCTTTCTAATGAGCCTTAAATGTGCCAAAGATGAGGTAAGATTACTTTAAATAATGTTTTTTTTTTAATTTATAATAGAAAGCTCTGTGTATATCTTCATTTAAATTAATATCCTGATGCTATAAAGTCCATTTTCTCCAAATAGTACAAATGCAAGCATGCATCCACTCAGTGTATATTCCACCAGGGCTGATTTAAATTAACTTTTCAAATTAATTGCTTTCCTTGGACCTGCTGCTGCATCACCCACCTTAGACCTTCCTGCATACAAAATACCAAACCAAGGGAATCCAAATCATGGAGTTAGAATTGTAACACTGTTGGGAACATGGAGAGAATTGGGGACATGATCTTTGGGTTCATATTGAGGAGTGACTTTCTACTGCTTAAATTCAAGCTGATAGAGCAGTTCTTAGGTTGGACAGGAGCTACTTGGGATCATCTCTGCTGGTAGGTAGGTGGATGAAGCTTGTCAGCTTCTGACAGGCATTGGCTGGGACAGAACAGCAGCATGTTGGTTTGTGTCCAGCCCTCAGGGTGCATAATTCTCCTGTGGGGTCTGATTTTGTTGGTGTGAGATGGCCTTTTCACCATCTAGTGAAAATTTGGGGAGCTGAAGCAACTGTGATATGGAGTTCAGTGAGTCCTTTTTTTGTCACAAATGTGTCTGCATGCCACTGCTCCAAAAATTGTCTGACTTCATCTGCAGCAAGCCACTTTTTTGTCACTTCTACATGCAATACTTCAAACTTTGGCCTCTGTCAGCTTGTTTTGCAATTAAATTAACAAATTTGTGCCTTCTTTTTACCTTTTTTAGCTGAACAACTGGGTGCATTTGCAGCTGGTGTCAAGCAGATGTTAGAAGATGTCCAAGAACGTCTTGTCTATAGGACACATATTTACATTCAGACTGATATCACAGGCTACAAGCCTGCTCCAGGTGACCTTGCATATCCAGACAAGCTGGAAATGATGGAGGTAGAACCAACTTTCTCATTCTTGATTGGTTTTCTTACATGCAGTAGATACATTTGTGTGGTGTGGTGCTTTGCAGGTGGAGTTTTCCAGTTCTGGGTGTATTTACTTGACTGGTGTTTGAGACACGTGTGTACACTGTGCTCAGACAGTGTGAGGAGAGACTTCTGTGTCCCTTTAGATAATCTAACATCCCAGAAATGGTCTCCAGTAGCCTTTTTTTTCAAGTTCTTACTAATATTAGCCATTTTTAGAGTCATGGCAAGCTGTTTGAGTCAATGAACCTGTTGAAAGGAATCAAACGACATCTACTCTAAAAAGGTTAATATTGTATTAGTGAAAGATTTCAGACTGAAACCACTCCCAGCAATAAAAAAGTGGCTGAAGAAAGACATTAAATGAGTTTTTGATGAGAGCAAACTGCATTTGATATGCAACTGAAAGGTAGCATGAAAAAGATCCCTCCTGAATAACTGTGGTCCTTCACTTTATAATGAGATGTAGTTTAGTGGTGACCAAGCAGTGGTGGGTTCATGGACTTGATGATCTTGAAGGTCTCTTCCAACTAGAGCAATTCTATGATGATAGATAGATAGATTTAGCTTTGGGCTGAAAGAAATGAACTTTGTATTTTACTGTGTTCAATTCTTGCCTGAGAACAGACAAACTGGGGGAAAATTCTTAGTGCTGAACTCCCTTTGCCTTTATATCAGTGTAAAGCTTTTCTTACATCACAGTTTATGCTTGTGTGGTTGTAAGGGACATTTACAGGCTTTTAGGAAATCCTGAAGCTGCTGAGTTTCTAGAATACTTGCCCTTTGTGCTGAAAGTTTAAGGACTAATAAGCTTTGGAAGAAAAAGCCAAAACAGTAATTGAGAAGCCCACCACACAAAATTTAGATAAATAGGTTCCCTTCATTCAGAACAATGAATGAGCAGAAGTTTGAGCAGTAGACATGTTAGAAGTGCAGGTTTGTTGGCTTTGGTTTGGTTTTTTTGGCTATTTTTTCTAAAAATGTATGGGTAGAAGTGGATAAAGGGTGATTGTGAGAACTTTTTAATGTTAGCTATAACTTCTGTAGGTGGATACTTGGGTACTGTACAAGGCATTGTTTTCTAACTGTGGTCCTGTGGCAGTTGAGAACAAGAGTGAGTTTTACAGTTCATTCTAAACTCAGAAATGCCATTGATCTTCTTATGTCCTCAGAAGGCTCCAGTTTTTGCCTGGTTTGAGATTCATTTTGCTACTTGATTGCTTTGAAACCTCGAAACCTTGCTGTAGAGACATTCTGTCTGAGGAAATGAATTATTCAGATGTCAAAAGCACAGGGCAGAAATGTTTCTTCTGCTGTTCTGCTCAAATATTAATGCAGTTCTGCCCATTCTTCTGCCTCTCATTGCTTTGGAGCAGACCAAGTAGTGAAAATGTTGAAGTGTGGAAGTGTTGAGTAGTGTTAGGGGAAAGCTTTTTGTTTGAAGTGTGGAATTGGGCTTCCCTATGTTGGACTTCTCTAAGTGGCTTCACAGATCATTATTTAGAGGTCAGTAAAACCAGGCAAAATGGAAAGAATTATATTTTATATAGATCTGAATCTTAAACTGATAGTGAAATGTGTCTGCTGCTCTTTTGGAAATGGCTTTGTCTCTTTTAGTGTCTTTGGAACACTGGGGAGCTGAGTGTAGCTGACTCCTTTGGCAATTTAATGTAATGCTGCTTAAATTAAGAAGGAAAAACAGAATTCTAATGTTTTCATTTCTCTTCCTCTGCAGCAAATTGCCCAGAGTTTGAAAGAGGAACAGAAGAAGCTGCCACCTGAAGCTTCATTTTCAGATGTCCAGCTGGAAGATCCAGAGTCCAGCTTAATTAAATCTGGTATGAAATATATCTCATGTTGTCAAATGAATGCATAAAAACTTCAACCATCATGTAACTGACGTGTGATCTTCAAGGGTTATTTTCCTAGAGAAATTTATTGGAGGTTTTGAGAGGTGAACTTTGTCTCAGGGTTCTCTTATTAACTTTTTTTGAATGAGAAACAACATTTTTCTTCTGGTAACATTTTTTTTTGTATTCTCTGCTGTATTCTCTACTGCAGAGTATCCCTACCCATCACAGTGTGTACTTAAGGATGCTTCTGGGCTCTTCTCTTAATAACTTTTTTTGAATGAGGAGCAACATTTTTCTTCTGGTAGCATTTTTTTTTGCATTCTCTACTGCAAAGTATCCCTGCCCATCACTCATGTGTACTTAAGGATGCTTCTGGGCTCTGCTAAGATGAGAGGGGTGGTTCAGTGTGTCAGGGCTGTCTTTTAAATGAATGCTTTGAGCCTCTGGGAGTGTCTCTGTGTCTTTTCCTGAGAAGGCAACTTCTTCCTTTGAGTGTGTTTCCACTTACTGAAACCAGTTAGTAATTTTAAGCTGTTGACAACATTTCAGGATAGTCCTTGACTTTTAAAATGTTTGACCTCTGTGCCTGTAAATTACAGTGAGCTGGCAGCAAACTCCATGAAATGTGGCTCTTTTGGTGCCAGCCACTTGAGTGTTATAACCCCTTAAATTCTTCTCTGATATCCATGAAGAGTTTCTCCTTTTATTTTACCATTGTTCTGAGTGGTACAGTGATATTTTTTCCCAGCAGCACCTTCCTCAGCTCTTTGTCAGTGGTTGCTCATATTTTGATTTATCTGGGAGTTTCTTGCCTTTGGCTTGCAAGGCTTGCCAAGGTCTTTCTGCTTGTTTCTGGCTGGACTCCCCAAATCCCAATGAGTGTGGATTTCATCTTGCTTCAAGCCAGGTGTGTTGCAGGTCCTGTAAAGCCCACCTACATCCAGGAGACCAGAGGAGCCTATATGGTGTCATTAGAACATGTGTCTGAGAGAATTTGGATTATTTGCCCTTCAAAGGGGCCTGGCAGTGCCTGTAGGAGTAGCTGAAGTCACTAATAAACAGCCTAAGAACTTCAAACAGCTGAGATCTTACAGCCCTTCTAATTACTGTGACAGAAAATATATTGTTGCAAAAGGTAAAAAGATTATTCCTGAATCATTTTAGACAGTTCCAGCACTGATCACACAAACACTTCACAAGTGCATTAGGTAAAACTTCAACAATTGTCCTTTTTTGAATGGTTGCTAATTGGAATCAGATTTCTGATGCTGTTGACTCAGCTCTTTCCCAGGATTTAAGGACCACATGAAAACAGGACAAGATTTCTGCCTCTCAGGTGTTGTGAAAATCCATTTTGAGGATACAGATTTATTAGAAAGGTTTTTTTAGGAGGAGCACATTTTTGTTCATAGCCCACTCATGACAAAATAGGTTTTGCTATTATTTAGCTAATTATTATTTTTACAATTATTATGATGTCTAAACCTCTATAATCCTGCAGCTGCTTAATCCAGGTAGGATTATCCCCAGCAGAAAGGAAAGCCTAAAGAAGTAAAATTGCAATTTTTTTCCCCCCCTTTTTTATATTTTCCTGAGCATCTCCTTTAGTTCCAGTTTTGGTTCTAGTGTAAACCACTAGCCAATTTTTTTCCCTTTTTCTCCTTGGTTTATTTTTTCTCCTCCAGGAATTGTTTGATCCTTTCAGCTGCTGGGCTAAGCAGGGTGAGGTGGCATTGGAGAAAGCTGCCTCACTAAAAAAGCTCAAGCTGGGCCAGCCCTGAAAACAAATCCTGGCCTTTCACAGCCACATGCTCTGTGCACATCAAATCTAGCACTGACCTGCTCAGAGGGGGAAAAAACCCTCAACTATTTGCATGCAATAAGATGTCCCACATCTGTGGAGCCAGTATCCAGTGAGGATGATGTTGCAGCCTCCTGCAGCTGAAAGGCAAGTTTCTCATGGGTGTTATTTCACTTTTAAACAGGTTCAGCAGAATCCCTTAACCCCAGGCACCAGACCACCATCTCACCAGCAGATCTGCATGGAATGTGGTATCCTACTGTCAGAAGGACCCTCGTGTGTCTCTCCAAACTGTACAGATGCATAGATGTATGCCAAAATTTGCCTTCTCTCCTTGGTTTTTTAACTGTGTAGCACTTTGCTGAGCTGTTTTAGTGTAAATTGGGAATGGACAGTGACTGGCCTTTGTTATCTCTTGGTCTTTTTGCTTTTATCTTTGTGTAAAACAAAAGAACTGACAAATTCAGGGCATCATTTCCAAGACTATTTGTAGAATCAGAAAAAAAGGCACTGGTTTGTACATCTGTGGCTTTTGCTATAACAGAAACACTTCAGTGTCTGATGCCCAGGATACTTTCCACACCAAAGTTGAGGAGTAGATAGAGCAAGAAAGAGCAGAAGTTTTGGGTTGATTGTAGTGAATGATTTACTGCTGCAGTTACTGGGTGGATTCTTGCTGTGTGCTTTGTAGGACATAAGACAAAGTGATGTTCCTGGTCTTAAAAATGGTGACTCTACTATTTTTACATTTTGGAAATGTTCTCAGAAATTTTCTGTGGCACATCTTTTCCCTTTCCAAAATAAGAGACAGAATCTTCATACCTAACAGAAACACAAAAACATCTTTTCCCTTTCCAAAATATGAGACAGTGGGAATCTTCATACCTAACAGAAACACAAATGGTCTTTAGAGACTTGCCCTTTAGAATCTGATTGATGTCTGTCACCTCACAGCATAAAAGGGTAACAAGTCTCTGAGAAACACAACACAAATGTTTCTGCTCCTCTGTATCTGTTGCATCTTTATGAGATGCATTTAATGCCTTCCAAAATATCTTGAGGTGTTATGTGAAACTGCCACCAAGATGCTTAAAATGAAGCTGGAAAATATTAATACTTCTTTGCTTAATATATCAATCTCATTAAAGATAGATATTTACCCTTGTTTTCAGCCAGACCTTTGGAGGTGAGGTGGTTGGTGTTGTTTGCAAGGCTCACTGGTGGTGTGTGTGCACAGGGGTTTATTCCCTTGTCACTGAGATGCTGCAGCAGCACTGCTGCACCCTGTAGTAGGAGAAGACATTCATGAAGTGACAAGTTTTGGGGCAGCCAGGCCCACCATGTGCTATGTTGGGGGGCTGGTGGAGGTGAGCTGTGTTCCTCTGGCTACCCTCAGCTCTGTGCTCTACCTGCTGCAGCTCATAGAATCCTTCAGGTTGGAAGGGACCTCCAAGATCATCAAGTCCAACCATTGAGCCATTAGGGCTCTAAAGTCCTCTGCTAAAACAGATCAGAATCTGTCAGGGCTGGAAGGGACCCCAAGGATCCCCCAGTTCCAACCCCCCTGCCATGAGCAGGGACACCTCCCACTAGATCAGGCTGCCCAGAGCCTCCTCCAGCCTGGCCTTCAAGACCCCCAGGGATGGGGCCTCAACCCCCTCCCTGGGCAACCCATCCCAGGCTCTCCCCACTCTCCTGTAGCTGGAGTTTGCTGGAGGTGAAGCTCCCTGGATGATCTGCTCTCTACCCCAAGCATGAATTGCACACCTAGTTGCCCTGCCACTCAGGGGATGTGTTTGTAGGTGGCAGATGTGGAGCTTTGGGTGCTGGTCAGCCCATCTCTCATGGGTTACAGCTGGAGTTGTGGTGGAGCTTTGCTGAGAGCAGGATTTTGCTGCTTTCCCCACAGAGGGCAGTGTTTCAGGGACTATCACAGGAGGCCTTGTCTGCCTGCATCCACTCACTGCTGGGAGCTGCCGATTCCATCAGCAAAAACAAGGTCAGAACTTGTCCTTTGGGTCTGATTTCTTTGGGTTTTTCTTTTTCTCCCCCCCTCCTTGTGTGTTTAAAGGCATGAAGCAGTTGTCCTCACTGATATTTCACTGAGAATCCTGAACATGTTGCTCTGCCCCTGGAGACCTGATGGATTTTGCCAGCTTTTAGTTAATGTATTGTAAAACAAAGATAATGATTCACATCCTAACCTGTCTGGAAAAGTGGGATACAAATTGTAGCCATCATGTTGACAGGCTGCTCTAACTCAGGGAAATTCAATCCAGTGATACCTAAAGAGAAATTGCTGCTCCCTATATTTGTTTTCCCTGCAGGTTCTTTTCTCTTTTTCTCTGCATCCCATGGTTTGAGCTGTCAAAAATCTTTTTCCAAGTATTAAATTCACTGGGAAGATTTGTTAGAGTATTTTCTGCTCAGAACTCTGTGTTATCAAAAGTTTTGGTCAGAATTCAATGCAGTTTCCTCAAGTCATTTTAACTTTGTTACTTTAGTTGTAATAAAACTTCTTTCCCCCTGTCCTGGTTCCTTTAATACAAACACTGTAGTAATTTGCTTGTTAATTCCTAACAGCCAGGAAGTGAATTTTAAAAACAAAAAAGGAAATCTTACTAGACTAAGATGGTTGGATTTGTATGAGCAGTGAATATTTAGTGATGAGAAAAGTTTTAGTTGCTCTTAGAAATGAACAGGCATTTGGAAGTACTTAATTTGATGCATTTAATTTGAAGTATTTAATTTTTAATAAAAAAATTTGACCTTTAAGTATCTTTAAAAATAAATTCCAGCTGCCTTTCCTTCTAGCTTGGGCAGATCCCTGTTTCATCTGTACCTCTTTCTACAGTTCATTGTCCATTCCAGCACTGTGTGTCAGCTCAGCATGGAATGAAACAGCAGAGAATAAAACCCAGCTAGGTTGGTTGGCCCATGAGTAGGGTCTGGAGCACTTTGTTTTAGTAAGCATCTCTTTGTTAAAACTTCAGATTTAAGTCTAATTTCTTTGTCATCATTTTATTTAATATTATAGCAAAGAAAGTTCTAGCTTGCAAAAGGAAATTTGAATTTTTGAGTCCTCCTCTCTTTACCTCAGTGTCCTCCTCTATTTATCTCAGTGTCCTCCTCTATCTCAGTGAGGCAAGAACTTCAAAGATTAGAAGCAGGATACAGTCTAAAGCACACAGCTAAAATAAACAGTGCAAAACTCATCACCATGGTGGTGTGAACTTGGCTTTGTTTTATTCTTTGTGTCTTTCATGTCCTGTTTAGAAATTAGCTGAACTTTGTGTGTAAGGACATGAGAAAAATGCCTTCGAAGACCTTGGCACAGTTAATCAAAGTTAGTAGAGAAACATGAAGTGTTTGGCTTTTTATTAATCATTATAGTGATTAAAAATAATCTAGAACCTCATGTTTTTTATCTATAAATGATATGAAAAATTATAT